ATTATTTAAATTTATATACCGCCCTATCTCCCTTACGGGACTCAGGGCGGTGAACAGGCAATAATAAAAATCACAATAAATATTGAATAAAAAGCCTGCTCTAAAATACCCCATATAAAACCCCTAACAAAGCCCAATCAAAACTACGCCAGGCCGGCCGCATGGAATAGATGGGTTTTCAAGGCTCGGCGGAAGAGGCGCAGGTCCGTAGTTGTATGTAGGTCGGGGGTAGGTCATTCCAGAGGGCAGGAGCTGCCACAGAGAAGGTTCTCTCCCTGGGGGTCGCCAGCCGGCATTGACTGGCCGACGGCACCCTAAGGAGGCCCTCTCTGTGGGAGCGGACTGGTCGAAGGGAGATATTTGGTAGGAGGCGGTCTTGCAAATACCGTACCTAGTTGACTTTCAAAGAACCTTAGCCTTTTTGACAAGTGAGCACCTATGTATTTACATTACTCTAACCTCAGAAAATGGAACAGCTATACTATTATATATATGTCTCTCTGAACATAGACTTTTTGGCTTTGTTTTTTCTTCTGTAATAAGAATGAAAGAAAGTTTTTGTTGCAGTCCAAGACCAGAGAAAGGAAATCTGACTGGCTTTTTTTCATGTATATCTACACTTATTCAAGCAATATGTTTAAACACCAGTTAGTATGCACTAGCTCTCTTGAGAGGAGTCAGAGTCAGTCACGGGCTCTTATATTATGACACTGTTGCCTTTCTGCTGAGGAAATGGAAACATGGGAAGTAGCTATGTTACCAGCACCAAGTACTGTAAAGTCAGAAGGACCTTAAGAGTTATTTATTTTACATATTAAGGCGGAAGAAATATGCTTCATTTGATTTTTTTTTTTAAAAAACCCAAGTGTAAAATTTGCTTAGGATGTTTATTTCCATAGACTGTTGTATATTATACTTGGAAAGAAAATCAAACTTGATTGTGTATCTTGGTTTTTTAGGGTTTTCCATTTCAGATGACCATCATTGGATTGGGTGTGCTCCTGCTGCAGATTCCAGCTAATCAGCAAAAGCCTATTTTAAATCTAGGTAAGACTTCGTTGTAAAATTGCAATAATTCCCTGAAAAAGTACTTGCTTTCTTTATCTTTCTGGGAGGGAGCAATCTCTTAATAATTTCAGATTATTAGAAAGTATCCTTTGTTGGTCTTGTTGGCAACTGTAGTAGATTAAATTTGTTGTTCATAAAGATTAGTAGGAGATTATATGTCATAAACATATATTTGTTCAGCTATTTTTATGCCCAGAATGTTTTCAGTTACCTGAGAACCATGTCAATGATTTAAATGTCAAATTAAGCAAGGGGAAATACAGAACATTACTCATGTGTTCCATGAAATATCTTGATAGATGAGAAAGTAATTTCATTTACAATAATCCTAATCAAAATTAGAATAAAAATGTTTATCCATTTAATAACAGACATTTGTCACATTTATCAGCCAAAAAGTACTCCAGAAATTTCCTCTGTGTCATCTCAAAGACTTTTCCAGCTACACATCATGCTGATTTAATTTTTCTGATGTATATTTAAGGTACCAATTAGTAATCCAATATTATTCAAGGGTTGTCATCCATTGATGAAACCAGATTGTGAAGGATGGACAGTCAGATTAATAATTTATGTAATCCACATACCAGAGTCACTCTCAACATTTTTCCATTAGTATTTAAATAAAATCATAATGAACATTTAATACAATAATAAAGACTGTTAAAGAACTAAAAGAAAAAGAAAAAAAACACGAGAAAACTGAAAAAAGAAAATATTAATGGATTTCCAGATAAGATGTACTGAAGAGAGAACTTTCCCTCTTCCCAGTTGCTGGCCCAAATCCAAAATGCTTCATCTCCCTCTGAAAATGTAAAAAGAAAAAAAAAAGAGCATTAAAAAAAGCTGCTACTACATTTCTTCAAATGATCTCAACACAATAAACTGCTCTGGAGCATCTGTGACAAATTGCTGGAAAAAGGAAAAAAAAGATTTAATTTCTTTTTGATTTGCTGCCCAATGGTCTTTTCTGAATAACATCTGCTTCTGAACTGTTTGTGGAGTCAGATCTGGAAAAATCATTAACTCCTTTTTTATTTCATTCCAAAAATCCCACTAGCTAAGATAAATGCTGGATGTGATCCCATAACTGTACATCTTAAACATTTCATAGCAGTAGGGCAGTAAGCAACTCAATATAGGTTTTTTCCCCCCTCGGTTACTTTATCTTATTTAAATTTAGCAGAAACCAAAGCTTTCTGTTGTTCTGCAGCTCACTTAAGAAGCTGTTTTCCCTTGGAAAAATTGTCCAATTCTTGTTTATTATGTCTTTGTGGTTAGGTTACAGGTACTAGATGTTGATAAATGTAGCAAGATAAAGGATTTTCCACTTAACAGTTAAAAGTGCTTACTAAAGGCAATGAAAATATGCTGAAATACTACCTCGTCCTTGGTGCTCTCTGAGTTTGGTTGTTTTCTTGAAGACGTTTCATTACCCAAACTAGGTAACATCATCAGTGTGCGTGCTGATGTTGTTATCTAGTTTGGCTAACAAACAATGAAGAAACTTAATAAAATAAGAAAATAGCCAAGGTCAGAAAGCACCAAGGACTTCTCGTTTCAACTCTGAGCTACAAATATTCTCCTTTCTTGGTCCCTTGTCCTTGGAAGGTATCAAGATTATAAACTCAGTTTGTCACCATGGAACCCAGGAATCTCAGATTCCTATTTCTTCATTGATTCCGTAGTAAATTTATATTTAGTATTGTGGGAGTTGAGATTTCCTGAATGAGGCAGATTTGTAAAATTATCTCAGAATTAAAGGGTATTTGTCTACCGAAGGAACTTTGAATGTAAATGTGAATGCAGCCACTTTATTATGATTCCCTAGGCGTGTTGGCTGCTCCAAGATTTTGAATACCCTTCTGTTCTAAAGGGGAGATTGTATCTGTATTCTACTATTTTTCACTATTGTATTAGATGGTTCTGAGTTATAAAATTCTTAATACAAATGTTCTCTTGTTTTTATAGCCATCAAGCTTCTGTCAGGTTCGGAAATCAAGATGACTCCATTGATGGCTGTCATCTTAGTGATGCCTGCATTGCAAATACTATCATCCACAGCTGTTCAGGACAACATGACTGAGGAGAATGATAGCACGGCTAGGCAGCAATTAGCCATTAATCTTCTAGAGATTGTACAGCAGGAAGAGCTGAAAGAGCAGCACTTGGTGAAGTTTTCATGCTTACTTTAAATTTTCCAGCTTTGGGGAAATAATAGTTATATAATATTTTCAACTTTCAACTCTACTTCAAACATAACAATGTAAAATATTAAAATAGGTACAGAAGTATGAGGAAAGAATATTAGGAGAGAATCGGTCAGATTATGAAGGGGCAATATAAATAAGCATGTATAGTAATTGTTAGCTCATATCATGTTTATGGCCTCTTAAAGACATTGGATTGGCCTTTATGTAGAATCTTGGTTTGAGTAGGCCTTTTGGTTAATGTGGTAGGGCTGTTAGGTACCTAAAGCATGGGTGTCTAACCTTTGGCTTGCCTGGGCTGCATTTGAGTCTTGGGTCATACACAATATATATAATATATAGTTAATGTATATAAATAACAAAGTTCCTGTGTATTTTTAATATTTGTTATGCAATCTTGTGGAGCCGCATCTTGTGGGCCATGGCTTGGACATGCCTGACCTAACGTATAAGACCCAGATCCTTGATAGATCATGTTAAGTCCAGTGCTCTTTTTGTATAACAGTAGGCATTTAGCCTACATTTGGGTTTAGGGAAGATGGATGGAATATATGTTTAGAGGTTATATGTATGTATGCTTATATTTGATTTTTTATTTGAGTTAAAGTATGTTTATATTTGATTGCTTTATATTTGGGTAGTAATATTTAGACTTGGGAAGGTGCGTGTTTAACCCTGTAAACAATTCTGGGAAGTCCGGGGGGGGAGGGGGTTAGAGGGAGGGTAGAGAAATGAAATTATTATGAGTATTATGTAGTAAAGTAGTAAATTAGGAGTACTGATGTATGGAGAAATATAGAAGGTGCTCGGTTAGCACCTCCAAACCGTGCCCAAAGGGAGGGAGAGGAAGAGGAGAAGAGAGAGGAAGGAAGTAGGTAGGTGGTAGAAAAGGGGTGGATGCGGGGAGGGGGTGCTGCCGAGCGGATGCTCGGCTAGCGCCCTAAACCGTGTCCGTAGGAAGAGGAAAGGGAAGGAGGGAGGATGTATAGGGAGGTTGGAGGAGAAAAGGGTGGGAGCGGGGAGGGGCTGTTGCCGGGCTGTTCTAGCTCGGTTAGCAGCCCCAAACTGTTTCCAAAGGGAGGAGAGGAGAAGAGAGAGGGAAGTAGGTAGAGTAGAGGGTGGATGCGGGGAGGGGGTGCTGCCGAGCTGACGCTCAGCTAGCGCTCTAAACCGTGTCCGTAGGAGGAGAGGGAAGGAGGAGGGATGTGTAGAAAGGTTGGAGGAGAAAAGAGGGTGGGCGCGGGGAGGGGGTGCTGCCGGGCTGTTTTATGTATGTCTATGTTTGAAGGCTAAAATCAATAATATTGAAGTTGTATTAATGGATGTTTATATTTGTATGGGAGGGGTTATTTTGAAATTAATAAAAATTTTAATTAAAAAAAACAGTAGGCATTTAGCAATTCACAAGAGGATGTCCAACAATCCAGAAAAGTATTATTTTTCTATAGCTTGATATGGCCAACATAACTGCACGTTTTTGCATAATCAGTGAAGCATAATTAAATAATTTTGGTATTCTTGGGCTTTTTCAATTATTCAGTGTAATAATGGTTCTTGCCTCGCAATCTTTTTTTAAAACCGCTTGAATACATAGGATTCCAAACTGCATTGGATGATACTAAGCATTATTTAGCTAACGTGAAAGTACGTGGTCAGAAATTTAATTCTTCTTTCTTATACAAATTTGGTATACAAATTGGATTCTCCCAATCTGTTTGCAACTGTGCTATTCTCAAGATTTGCTGGCATTATTTGGTTAGGACTTTTATTGATTCTTCTTCTTGTTGACCAGGAATCTGGAGAAAGCGTAGAAGGGCCCCATTATCTCTGGCTGCCTGCAGGGCCATAGATGGTCACCCAAAGGGGAGCACCCAATGTCCTAAGATACCAGGGAACACCCAGTGTCCTTAGGGAACTACCCAAAAGTACCAGGAACATCTTTAGCTATTTCTTATTCTATTATCTATAGTGTGCCAGCTTTGCTGGGTGACTTCTTTATCTGTTGTGTGCCTGCCTTGCTGGGTGTATTAAGTATGTCATAAAAAGGGTATAAATATGAACATTTCTTGTTATTTAGGGCTTGTTATTTGGGGCTTCCTTTCCTTTGTTCAGCTGAATAAACATGTAAGCTTAAAGGCAACTTCTGGTTTCTTGTATATGTTACCAAGCCACACCTCAGAATTGGCATAGCATTCTGTTAACTTGCCATAGTTCTGTAGATATTCCATCAGTTCCTATTGATTTCTGATTTAGTAATAACAGACCTAATTTTATCTTCTAGTACTGAAGATTCTTATGAATAGAGAATATTTTCCAAGTTATCTTGGATATTGACATCTTTGCTGTATAGAATTTTAATATATACTCCTTCCATCTTTGTTTGATGTTCTTTGAATCAATTAATATCTGACATTGACATCCTTTAGCATACCAAACTCCTTTTGAGTTTGGAGATCATTTGGAAAACTTTTTTTTAATTTTTCTGTGTCTATTTCCATCTTCATTGTCTTTACAGATGTACTTGTAATCCTGCTTATTGTCTTTTCTAATACTTGTCTGAAATTCTCTGATAGATTATTTCCTGATATTTTTGCCTTTGCCTTTTTTTTCTCTTCTTGGCTTTTTCCACTCTTTGTTCTGATATCAGGTTGCTTCTTTCTATTTCTAGATTTTTGGCGGTCTGTTTTCATGTTCATGCTTAAAATTTCTTTGATTTCATTCCACAGTTCCTTTGGTTTCATATCAGTGGGATTCAAGACTTCAAAGCAGTTTTTGATCTTCTCCTTGAAAATGGTGTATATGCTCATGACCATATAGTGGAAATTGGTTGGCTTTGTTTTCTATTTGAGCTTGACTCTGAGCTCAGACAAGAGTAGTCCTTGAACTCTTCTTCAGTCAGCCCCTGTCCTTGCCATGTTTTTATTATTATACCACTAATTTGGTCAATTTGATCTGCATGTATTCCATTTCATAATGTTTATGCATATTGGTGTTTTTTGGGTTGTTTGAAGACCTAATTAGCAATGAAGAAACCTAGGCTGTACATTACAATTTCATTTTCTTACTGTTTCCAACAATGGCATTCCATTCTCCAACCACATGCAACACATCTTGGGTACATGTTTCTACAGGTAATCCTAGACTTACAAATATTTGTTAAGTGACCGTTCAAAATTACAACGGCACTGAAAAAAAAAGTGACTTATCACCCGTTTTCACGCTTACAATCATTGCAGCATCCCCATGGTCATGTGATCAAAATTCGGGTGCTTGGCAACTAGCATGTATTTATGACAGTAACACTGTCCCAGGGTCATCTGATCACCATTTGTAACTTCTCAGCCAGCTTCTGACAAGCAAAGTTAATGGAGGAAGTCAGATTTGTAGGTGGTTTGTAGAGGCCTATAAAGCTTCTCTAGGACATTTTCCTTTTTCCTGATACTGTCAGCTAACTTCAAAGTAAATAATTCATACAAAATGGAAGAGTTAATTGGTGACTAGAATTAATGAGTCCCAAATAAAACCAAGTCCATCTGGGGCTAAATCATATTTCCTCTCGGTTAGTCCAGCAGTTCATCTGAATGGGTTGGAGAGCTTCCAAAACATGTCACCCTCTTCATATTAAGCCTATAATGATATAGTCATACGTGATATGCCTTAAGTGTCAGAAATGCTTTGGTCCATTTGGGGTGGCAAAGTAAGTTTGGGGAACCTACTTAAAGAAGTAGGCAAGAATCCCTTTGTATGTTAAGGAGCTCCAGCTAATTTTAGTATGCCAATAATTCATAATTGCTTGGGGCTTTAAGCATGCTCTCCAGTAATAGAACTCTAGCAATTCCTTTATAGTGATTGACATTTGGGAAGTTTAAGAGAATACGTAATATAAATATAATCGTAGGTTTAGTTTAGGAGAGGAAGCCATAATTGACAACAGTGATGTTGGTGATTAATTTGAATGAAAAAAACTCTTTAACAGCAATAAGATAATGTAATTGATCTTTGCACAGGCCAGCTTTCCCCAACTTGCCAGTCCAAAATTTCCACAATTCCCAGCCAATATTTTCCTTGTCCATACAGGCTGCGAGTTGTGGGAATCATGTTTTTAATATATATTTGCAAGTCGAATAAAATATTCATCTTTGGCATCATGAAGGAAAGCAGTTTCATTGTTATAATAGCCCTTTTCATTTCCCACAGGTCTCTTGGGATTACTTCTTCCCCATAAATAGTATCTATGGTTCATTGCATGTCACTTGGCAACTCCTTTGGCTTTTGAGAGACAAGACCTCCATGTCTGACTGGTTGTCTTCTGTTAAATCAATGCTTCCTATTGCAACACAAGTCTCTGTCCATGTCGTTCTCCTGGTAGCTTATCTCCTCATTCAAGAGAACGGGGATAATCTTCATAGTGTGCTGGATGCTACCATAGAAATTGCAAAAGTGGATTCATCTCAGGTAAGATTGATTTTTGATAACACTTAATATCCAAATGATGTCTCAAAATCAGTCTGAGCTTCTTACCTCTATGACTTTTGGCTTTTTGCATATCACCTTTTTGTTACATTTTCTTCCCAGCTCCTCTTTTAAATCTCTTTTTCCTTTTGCTCCCTATTTCTGTATGGGCCCATTTTCCAGTCACTTGCTTTTTCCCTTTATACACAACCTGCACACCAATATGGGACAGGAGTGAAGCTATGTGGAGGTTTTCTGTTCCATTTTCTAACTCTTAGCACTGCTTTCAACTTTGAAGAGGAAAAACAGGTTAAACAAGAAACAGAAACAAGTTTCTAAGTGGGTATCTTAAAATGGCAACCTCTGGCACTGATGTTGTTTTGAGACATAAAATGCCCGTAAATTTTGAAGCAGTGAGAATCCCTGATTGTTTTTTCAAGAAAAAAGAAATAAATATATACAACAGATGTTATGCAAAACATAGTTGTTTGTAAAATTGCTAGAAAAATTGCAAATATAGCATGTCCATCCTCCCTGGTTTCTGCTGATAGGAGTAAGGGGGAACCTGTGGCTCAAAAGGGTAATACAGCTGCCTAACATGCAAGCTGCCCAGGTTCGAATCCCTGTAGGGAGTGACTAGCTGATGAGGGCTAATGAGCCTGAAATAGCTATACTAGTCTCCCACTAACTCTTTGTCAGCCACAAATTTTGAATTTATAGTGTTCACAGTATGTGACGTCTGCCTGCAAAACATACTCCTAGATTGCAGTGAAACGCAGAACAGACTGATTTATATTTGGTAGACCGGGTGCCTCACCAAAAAAGATGAGGTTCAAAAAAAGGAGACATTGTAATAAAACAAAGAAACATATGTTCTGGACATAATATATACATAATACATAATGCAGGATAAAAAAAATCTAAGAAGAAACAGATGAAATCAAGTCTTAAAACACAAGTTTTGCCAATGAAACGAAATCTAATCAGTCTAATTTATCTTCCTCTGAGGTATTCGTTCATCAGTTTCTATTTCTTCTGACTCTTACACACTTTATTTGTCATTTTTCAACTTCCATGGATTTCAGAAAACTAATTTTGCCTATTGAGGCAACTTGATTTGGGATTTTTCTAAACATTTACCAATTTCTTTCACATCTTAATCATTTTATGCGTCAATAAGATAAAACTGAAAAATGTAGAAAAAAGAGAGGAAGAAATCTGTGGATCAAGCTCCCATGACTCCTGATCTTAAAAGAATTTCACTTAATGGTAATGAACTACCGTGTTTCTCCGGAAAATAAGACCCAGCATGATTTTTCAGGACGCTCGTAATATAATCCCCACCCCCAAAATAAGCCCCAGTTCAGATTGTCAGCCAGATTTGTTTATAAAGGTTGAATGTAAAAGTAATTAAGATACAGTATATATAAACTAAAAATATATTGATAAATGTAATTAACATGTTTTTACTTAGCTGATATGATAAGAACTGTACTAGCTTAAATATGAGATAGCAGACATTAAGAGAAAAAGAGAGGAAGGATTTGATGTTGAAACAAGAGAAATTTTGGTTACTAAATTTAAGACATTTGGAAATTAATAGAAAATAAGAATGTTATTTTGTATTATTAATTAGATTATGTAAGATGGTGAGAAATAGAATATATTCAAAGGCAGTAAATACTAAGGGGAAAAGAGAGGAAATATTTAATGTGGTAGTTTGAGACTGGTACTAAAAGATTACTTGTATGTTATTGAATTATTGATTAATTCAGCCGCCACGTTGCTTTTCAAATACTTAAATGTAAAATTAGAAAATCAATAAAACATTTAAAAAAGACATATGGGGAGGGCAAGGGTAGAGTGGGGGGGGAGGTGGGATCTGTTATAACTCAGCCAACCTCCTCCATTGCACGGATCCCCCACTGGGACCCCAAGCCAACTGGCACAGCCACGTCTTTAGGCTCTTGCGAAAAGATAGGAGGGTTGGGGCCTCAGATTGGGGGGGGGGCAAGATGCAGGAGCAAGAGCAGAGAAGGCTCTCCTCCTGGACTCCGCTAGCCGGAATACTTGGGCTGATGGGATCTGCAGCATGCCTTTTCTGCCGGCACGAGTGGTATGGCCCAATCCCAGTGGGCTGAGAGAGTCCCTCAAGTAACCTGGACCCATGCCATGAAGAGGTTTAAAAGTGATCACCAACACCTGGAATTGCACACGGAAGCAGATTGGTAACCAATGCAGCTCGCGGAACAGTGATGTTACAAGGGCCATTCTTGGGGGCCCCAAAACTACCCAGAGTGCAACACTTTGCAGCAGCTGCAGCTTCCAAATGATCATCAAGGGTAGCCCCTTGTGGAGCACATTACAATAGTCCAGTCATGAGATGACTAGATACTGAGTGACTGGGCGCAATTTAATAACCTTTGAATGTTTTGGACTACAACTTTCATAGTCTGATGTGGCTGCTCATGCATGAAATTGGAAGCCAAAAGTTCTGGGACGCACTAAACTACCTAGACTAGACTTAGATTGCTTTACCTGGTGAATTCTTCACACTTGCCTATCTATCTGATTTCCTTGCTCCCATTTGCCATGTTTGTTTTTCATAATCAAAAGACACAAGATAGCACATTATGAATGCATAACTGGCTATGAGATGGATAAAGATTTAAAAAAAAAGCTAGATTAGTTGCATTGTGTTTTTCATTAAGGCAGCTTTCCCCAACCTGATGCCTTTCACTTGCATTAGGACTGAAACTCCCCAAATTCCCGAGTAGCCATTCTGGATGGGAATTCAGGGAGCTATAATCCCAACGTATTCAGTCAAGTCTGGGAAATTTGTGATGGAAATTATCTATTGAAAAGTATTTCTTATCGGCATGTTTATTCTGAGCACTTTGAGTGGCGTTTCCTTTTTCTAACTTTATTACACTTCTCTACAAACTATACGTAATTCCAGTTTTACTCATGCTTTCATTTTTATTTCCTGGAGAGAGGGAGTATAAAATGCTTTAAGAGCTAGTCCTTATTGTTAAGTTTACATGAACATTTTAGTTAAATAGGAATCAATCCAAAATTCTCATTTTTTCATAAAAAACTGCACATTGGTTATAACAATTCAGATGTTGGCAACATACAGGTAGTCCTTTGTTAATGATCATTCAGTGACTGATTAAAATTACGAGGATGCTAAATGAATAGTACTTAATCTAATCCTTGAAGTTATGACTGTTGCAGTGCCCCACAAGCTGTCCAGGACTTATTACCTCATATTGGATTCCTAGTTGATTTTGCTTGCTGGGAGCTGGCATGAAGTTGCAAGCAAGTCCTCACTTAGTGACCCAGAATCCTTGGTTAACAATGGCAACAGGAACTGCTGGAATTACCATTGTTAACTGAAGACTATCTGTACAGTCTTCCATCTCTGTTCAAAGTTTCTTTCCCTTAGCAATTTTTGGGTCAGCTGTGTAGTCAGATATTGTTGCCAGGTATTACTGTCAACAAGCTCTTGTTTCCATTGCAGGTAGAAGAATCCTCCTGTTTGGTACCTCCTGCTCCCTTTGGTACCTACAGGTAGTCCTCAGTTAATAACAGTAACTTGGACCAGGATTTCATTACTAAGCGATATAGTTTAAAGTATGATGTTACATAACTACATTACTCAGCAATGGCAATCTTGACAGAAGGTGATCCAAGACTGGAGGGGGGAGGGGGGAAGAGGGGATGGTTTTGTGGGAGGGGCAAGCATGTGCGCATGCACAAGCACCCGTTGCTCACATGAGTGAGGCCGAGAGGATCCATGACACTTGCACAAGTGAGGCCCTGGGCGCTTGCATGAGTGAGGCCTCAAGTGCTTGTGATGCTCGTGTGAGTGGGACTGTGCGCGCACATGTGCTCGCACCAACCACCCACCCACCCACGCGGTCCAGTTGCGAATAGGATGGACTGGTAAATGGCCGTGGCCCACAAGCTGGGGACCCCTGCTATAGGGTTTCTTTCTTGAGCAAGGGGTTGGACTAGAAGACGTCCAAGGTCCCTTCCAACTCTGTTATTCTGTCATTGACAGTTCTTATTACTGTCATTCACTGAATGCCATCTGGTCTTTAGGCCCCGATCCAAGCCATTCAGTTCCCCCACCATGGCCAGATGCCCCAGTGCTAAGCCCCAGCTGACTCGGCCATCCCACTGCAGCTGCAGGCTATGCGAGGCCTTTTTCCTAAGGTTGTATGTTCCAAGTGGTGTGTGGCCTTCTCGCGAGGCTTTGGAAGTCTTCATGTATGATCAGTTGTAAGTGCAGTGGGCTGCCAACTGCCTAAAGTTTGATCACATGACTGCAGAGGGTCTGCAATGGCTGTAACTTTGGGTGCCAGGTTAAATAACTGTATGTTCACCACTTCAAACAGTCACTGAAGAAACACTAAGTGAATATTTACCTGAAAGTTAACCGGTATTCTTGTGTTTCCTGGCAGAAAAGATACTTTGAACCATTATCATCCAATATATTTTTAGCTTTTAAAAATGTTTGTTATTAAATATATATGAAGAACAAAAGCAGCAGATAATCAAATGGGAAGTTAGTGATTATTAATTTCATCTACAGAGGCTTTTGTGTATGAAACCTTAACAGGCTAATCGACACATATAGGAAAATACTCATGGACTTTTCTATTTTCTATTAACCTTGGGTATATTGGAAGCATTAAGGAGGGTGACATAGTGTTAAAATGCAAAGAGAGCTGAACCATTGAATTACAAGAAATAAGCTTTGCAACAATGAAGAATACAATTCATTAATAACTATGAAACATTCAGTAATTGTATTCTATTAATGTTAAACCCTTTGGGGTACATTCAAATACTTACTATACTTCTTTCTCACTGTAAAAAATTATTAAAACGTGCAGAAAAGTACCTATTAAGTGGTTGTTTAAGTATCATAAAGTCCAAAGAGTTGCAAAGGTTAACAATAAAATAGTGAGAGAAAAATCTTATGTTTTGGATAT